GGGGTGATTTCTCGCTTTCTGTCTCTATGTCTCTCTCTGTCTGTCTGGCGAGCGCACGCGCCCTACAGTGAAAATCTCTCCCAAAAAAAAAAAAAGAAGCGAGAGAGAGAGAACTAACCCTTATTGCCCACAGTGGTAAGTAAATAAATAATGGGTAGGGTGTGGGGCCAGCAGGTGGCATGGTGGTTAAAGGAGACAAAGACATGACCAAAAAAAAGAAAACTTCAAGCCCATTTCTCTGATGAATACAGATGCAAAAATTCTCAACAAGATACTAGCAAATCATATTCAACAACGTTTTAAAAAGATGATACATCATGACAAAGTAGGTTTTATTCTAGGGATGCAAGGATGGTTCAACATATGCAAAACAATAAATGTAATACATAATATTAACGAAAGGAAAGATAAAAACCATATGATCATATTGATCAATACAGAAAAAGCATTGGACAAAATACAACATCCCTTCATGATTAAGACTTAGCAAAATCAGCATAAAAAGGACATTCCTCAACATAATAAAAACTATCTATGAAAACCCATAGCTAACATCATCCTGAATGGGGAAAAGCTAAAAGCTTTTCCACTAAAAACTGGAATAAGATAAGGCTGCCCACTTTACCCACTCCTTTTTAACATAGTACTGAAAGTTTTAGCCAATGCAAGTAGATAAGAGAGTCAAATAAAAGGCATCCAAATGGGAAAAGAAGAAGTGAAACTATCTCTGTTTGCAGATGATATGATACTATTCATAGAAAATTCAAAAGAATCCACACACACACACAAAAAACTCCTGGGAGTGATAAATAAATGTAGTAAAGTGGCAGGATACAAAATCATCATACAAAAATATATAACATTTTTATACACCAACAATGGACAAACTGAGAATTTAAGAAAGAAATCCCATTTACAATTGCCACAAAACCACTAAGATATCTAGGGGGGGCCGACAGGTGGCATGGTGGTTAAAAGGTGGCTGGACTACCACATGGCTGACCCTAGTTCAAGTCCCGGACCTGGAAGCTTGCTTTCTCACTTTCCTTCTCTCTCTGTCTCTCTCTGGTCAACTTTAAAAAATAAAATAAAATAATGACAGTGAATAAAATTAAATTAAGTAATTCTTTTTATAAAAGATATCTAGGAGTAAACCTTACCAAAGATGTCAAAGATCTCTACAAGGAAAACTACAAAATGCTAGAAGAAGAAAAAAAAATTTTTTTGGAGAGGTTTTTGCCATAGGGCGTCTGCGCTTGCCAGAGAGAGACAGAGAGATAGAAAGCAAGAAATCACCCCCCAGGGGGGATGGCCACGCCGCAATCCCTTCTCCTCCATTCTCCTCTCGGGATCTTGGGCACGCACACACACGCGCCTGGCGTGAGTTTTAAGCCACCGGGTCCAGAACATGAACTGCGGTCAACTACGTGGGAGTCCAGCGACATAGCCATTACGCTAACTGCTGGTCCCCTAGAAAAAGAAATTTAAAATGATACAAAAAAGTGAAAAAACATCCCATGTTCCTAGACTGGAAGACTTAATATAATCAAGAAGTCAATCCTATGCAAATTTATCTACAAACTTAATGCAGTCCCAATCAAACTTCCAGAAATATTTGTTACAGAAACAGAAAAAAAAATCATGAAATTTGTCTGGAAGCATAAAAAGCCCTGTATCACCGAAGCAGTACTATGTAAGGGGAATAAAGTAGGAGGCATCTCACTTCCTGACCTCAAAACAAATTATAAAACTGTGATAATTAAAACAGCATGGTATTGGCAAAAAGAACAGACAGGTAGACCAATGGAACAGAATTGAGAGCCCCCAAATGAACCCCAAAACATACAGCCAACTGATCCTTGACAAAGGGCACAAGACAATCCAATGGGAAAAAGCTAAGTAAATCTCTTCAGCAAATGGTGCTGGGAGAACTGAATATCCATCTACAGAAGCATGAAGCTGGAACCTCATCTCTCGCCATTAACAAAAATCAACTCAAAATGGATTGAGGAGCTAAACATAAAACCTCAAACTATAAAAATATTGGTGGAAAACAGGAAAACTCCTGGAGACCTTGGAGTAGGCAGACTGCTTAAAGAAGACCTCCAAAGCACAGGCAATAGTCCCCAAAATAGACAAATGGGACTATATTAGGCTGAGAAGCTTCTTCACAGCAAAAGAAACAATACCTAGAGTGAGAAAACAACCCTGAGAGTGGGAAAATATATTTTCAAACTATACCTCAGATAAGGCACTGATAACCAGAATATATAGGGAACTCAAGCAGCTTACCCCCCCCAAAAAACCAAAAAAAAAAAAAAAAAAAAAAAAAAATCAATTCAATTGAAAGATGGGAAAATGAACTGAACAAACAATTCTCTGAAGAGGACATATGAATGGCCCAAAAGCATATGAAAATGTACTCAACATCTCTTATCATAAGGGAAATACAAATCAAAACCACAATGAGATACCACTTAACAGTAAGAATGACTAAAATTAAAAATAAATAAATAATGGTAAGTGCTGGCAAGGCTGTGGTGAAAAGGAAACTCTCCTATGCTATTAGTGGGAATGCAAATTAGTACAACTACTTTGGAGCATGATATGGCGATTCCTCAGAAATTTACAAATATAACTACCGTACAACCCAGTAATTCCACTCTTAGGAATTTATCCAAAGGATAGAAAAACCCTCAGTCAGAAAAACACTTGCTCAGGGACCACCAGTCAGTGTAATGGCTATATTGCTGGGCTCCCATGTAGTTGATCGTGATTTAAGTCCCGGACACAATAGCTTAAACTCGTGCCAGGCACTTGTGCATGCCTGCCCAAGATCCTGAGAGGAGAATGGAGAAGAGATTGTAGTGTGGCCATTTCCCCTGGGGGGTGATTTCTTGATTTCTGTCTCTCTTCTCTCTCTTTCTGGAGAGCGCATGCACTCTATAGCCAAAAAAAAGCCTCTCCAAAAAAAAAAAAAAAGGAAAGAAAGAAAAAGAAAAACACTTACACATCCAGCACATCCATTGCAGCGTTATTTACAACTGCTAGGACATGGAATCAACCCAAATGTCCAAAAACAGACTTTGTATGTTCCCACTCAATATATAGTAATTGTCTGCACTCTACAGCAGAAACTGTAAGTTTGGAAGGTATAGAAGCAGGGAGGACAACTGTAGATACTAGAGAAAAAAAGTAAGGACGGGAGAATACAGGGGTGGGTAATAGAGGGAGGGAAGAGAACAGGGGAAGGAAAAAAGTATGTTTAATTGACAAGAAAATGGAAAGCTATTTGCTGATGATAATGTATAGAGTAATGTCTTTATCTTGACTAATATGCATGGTATTTGTGCTAGAAAAAGCAATGTTGTATACTGTAAAGATAAATGTGATTAACTGTAAAATAAAATAAATAAATAAATGATGGGTACAAGTTGGGACCAGCAGATGACATAATAGTTACGTCACTGGACTCCCATAGAGTCAATCATGGTTTGAGTCCTAAACTCAGTGGCTTAAAACTCATGCCCAGGGGCCGGCAGGTGGTGTGGTGGTTGAGGGTGCTGGATTTCCACCTGGCTGACAGCAGTTCGTGTCCCAGATCTGGTGGCTTGCTTTCCTGCTTTCCCTTTCTCTCTTTCTGTCTCTCTTGGGTTAAGTTGGTAAAATAATAATAATAGATGAATAAATAAATAATTCTTAAAACAAAACTCATGCCAGACGTATGTGCGTGCATGCCCAAAATCCAGAGAGGAGAATGGAGGAAAAGGAATTGTGGCATGACGATTCCCCTGTGGAGGGTGATTTCTTGTTTTCTTTCTCTCTGGTGTGAGCACACATGCTCTATAGGAAAAAAAATCTCTCTCTAAAAATAAATAAATAAATAAAACATTCATTAAAAAAGGAAAGATGGGGACCAGCAGATGGCATAAGGGTTGTGTCACTGGACTCCTACATGGTCAACTACAGTTAGAGTCCCAGACCCGGTGGCTTAAAAAATGCTAGGTGCGTGTGCATGTGTGCACAAGATTATGAGAGGAGAATGGAGGAGAGGGGATTGTGGCATGCCATCCCCACCTGGGGGGTGATTTTAAAAAAATAAAAGAAAAGAAAAGATGAATTAATCAGATTTTCTTTCTTGGACTTTTTAGGTGAGAAATATGGAATCAGATGGAAGGGGACAAAAGCAATCAAGTTAGACAGTGGGTAAGTCACCTTAGCAATTTGGAGTAGTGGGAAAATTCAGAAATTCCTATTGTGATGCACTTAGTGTTTTTCTGGACCCAGATCTGCTTTCCTTGTGTTTTCTATTAGTTCATTCTCTGCTGCTTAATAACTGAATATCATACTGAGTAATTTACAGAGAGTAGTGGTTTATTCAGCTTACAGTTACAGAGAGAGGTTCAAGGTCCAGAGGCTACATGTGAATAAGGGCCTTCTTGCTAGCAGCAACTCCTGAGGTGACACAGGGAATTATATGGTTAGACAAAGTGAGCGTGTGTGTGTCCATGTGTCCATTTCATTCCCGCCTTATAAACCTATCAGGATTTAATCATGAGGGCCACACTCTGATAACCTTAATCCTAATGCCCCACCTCCTTTTTTTTTTCTTTTTCTTTTCTTTCTTTCTTTTTATTTATTTACTTATTTATTTGAGAGAGATTTTTTTGCTATGGGCATGTGTGCTTACTGGAAAGACAGAGAGACAGAAAACAAGAACTCACTCCCTTTGGGGCCAGCAGTTGGTGTGGTGAATAAGGGCACTGAATTCTCACATGACTAACCATGGTTCAAGTCCTGGACCTGGTGGCTTGCTTTCTCATTTTCTGTTTCTCTCTCTCTCTGGTCAAATAAAAAAATAACAATAACAAATGGAATTAAATAAATAAATAAATCTTTCTTTTTTAAGAATTATTTTATTTGACTTTGTTTATTTATTTATTTATTTTTAAAGAATTATTTTATTTTAACTTTATTTATTATTATTATCATTATTATTTTCCAGTTTGATCAGAGAGAGACAGAGAGAGAGAGAGAGACAGAGAGGAAGTGAGAAAGCAAGCCACCAGGTCCGAGACTTGAACCGTGGTCGGCCATTTGGGAGTCCAGCACCCTTAACCACCACACCACCTGCTAGTCCCTCTTCTTTTTTTTTCTTTTTTTTCTTGAGAGGTTTTTGCTGTAGGGCATGTGTGCTTGCCAGAAAGACAGAGAGAGACAGAGAGACAGAAAATGAGAAATCACCCCCCCAGGGAGACGGCCACTCTGCAATCCCTTCTCCTCCATTCTCCTCTCGGGATCTTGGGCATGCATGCACATGCTCCCGGCATGAGTTTAAGCCACTGGGTCTGGGACTCGAACCATGATCGACTACATGGGAGTCCAGCGACATAGCCATTCCAACTGCTGGCCCCAAATAAATAATTCTTAACAAAATTATTTTAAAAAAGAGAAGAAAAGAAGAGAAATCACTCCCCAGAGGGGATGGCCACACCACAATCCCTTCTCCTCCATTTTCCTCTCTGGATTTTGCGCATACATGTACATATGTCCAGTGTGAGTTTCAAGCTGCCAGGTCCAGGACTCAAACCACTATGCCACCTGTTAGCCCCAAGGCCCTGCCTCTTAATCCCATAATCAGATTAAGTTTTCATCTTTTTAATACTGCCACAATCAAATTTCATCACATGAATTTTTGGAGGATACATTCAAACACGGCAGATTTCAATCTTCATTAAACCGGACCCCACTATGGCTCCAGATCTAAGAGATTTGGTCTTCCTTATCTGTTTCTCTTACTTGAGTCTTATTGAGTAAACTTTTGTTTTTTTGCAGAGACAAAGAAAGAAAGTTCCAAAACTCCTTATTAGTTGAAAGGGTATAAAATATAGCAACTTCCCCTTCATTCTATACATCTATTCATTCCTAAAAGCTTCATTAATGCGGCAGGTCCTTGCATTTCTGAAAACTGTGTCTCATACTCGTTACATTCATGTCTCGACAAGACATAGAGGGATCCTTGCTACTTCCAAATATACAAGGCTAATCAACATGATATAATCAATGGAGAAGATCAGGGTGATATCCTGTGTAGGAGTCAACTGGTGTAATCACCATCCCTATTTGCCAGGGACTCAGGGATTTTCTGGGCTGGAACATTCAGGATGAGATGGTCACACAATAACATTTCTGGGCAAACTCAAATGGTTGGTCACCTTGGGTAAAGTGGGCTAGGTCCTGTGAAGGTATATTGTTACAACTAACAGCTGAAGACAAATATGATGGTATGGGTCAAGAGAAAAATGTTTTCGTCAAATCAAAGACAGAATATCATGAACGGACCTATTTAAGTTTGAGATAATCCTCCATTATTTTTCAAGTACTAACCAGCCCAGAGAACTGAATGATGTTTTAACAGACTTTCTCTAAGGGTTCCTGTCCTCTTCTCTAAGAACTCTGAGCCTAGAAACTGACGGGGATGGTTATGGCCACAGGGACTATGACTGTGTAGTCTTCTGGCTTGAGTTACGTCTTTATTCATTAAACTAAGGAATTATTTTGCCATACAAATCAGGCAGAACCAAGGCCCGCCCACTTGGCCTGTTCTTCCAACACTTCTAGCAGAAGCCAAAACCTCAATTCGGTATGTTAGGCCATTTCTTACAAGGCATTTACCACACCTACTTGGCTTTTGCTTTTTTGTGGCCACAGCTAGGAGTGATATTCAAAATATTTAACAACTGGTTACCACATGGCCACCAGCCAATTAGAACAGATATTGACTTTAGCACTAAGTGTGTTCCTGGAGGTTAACAGCTGCGCTGGGTGTTAACTCTTTAGTTGCAGAATGAGAATGAAGTCTACCAGTCTGGAGGCAGGTAGATGGGAGTGAGGCATTCTTGAGACTCTTGGTAGCACTTTGCTCCAAGCAGCAGAGTGGCAGATGGTCAACCCATTTTGCTTTTAATACCTGCTTTCTTTTGATTTAACCATCTACTTTCTTCCTTTCTTAATGATAGAAATTTCATGTTGTGCTGGCCCGGTAGTCTAGTGGTAAATTTCATGTTGTGCTGGTCCAGTAGCCTAGTGGTTCAGGAAGCTGGATCCCACATGGCCAACTGCAGTTTGAGAACTGGTCCCAGTGCCTTGAAAGACATGGCAGGCATATGTGTGTGCATGCCCGAAATCTGGACAGAATCAAGAAATGGAGGAGAAAGATTGTGGTGTGACCATACCCCATTGAGGGGTGCTTTTTCCCATTCCCTCTGTCTCTTTCTAGTGAGTACACGTGCCTCCTGGCAATTAAGAAAAATTGAGCAAGGGACCATCAAGTAGCTAAGGTGCTAGACTCCCACATTTGAGCCCTGGACTTGGTGACTTGCTTTTTCACTTTCTCTCTCTCTCATGAGAATGCATGCCCTATAGCAAATTAAAAAAATAAATAGATAAATAAATAAATCTTTCCTTTTTTTTTAAATGTTAGTTAACTGCCCTTCTTTCTACTCCTAGCTGGGACAACTGCTCCCTCTCTTTCCAACAAAGGACCTTACTAATTAGTGTTTTACTAGGGAACATTTTTATAGATCCTGAAAAAGAACATAGTGTTAGAGATGTGTGTACATGGGGGGAGGTAGCAGTTAGCTGGTTATTGGTGCAATAAGTCATTCCCTTCTTCAATCCTGGAATTTATTTACCTATATGTGCCAAGAACCACTAGGCTCTTCAGTGTATTAACTCGACAAGAAATACAATCAACCAAACTGCGTGCAGGAAGAGAAGAAAAACTAGGAAGTGGGAGTGGAGAGTGGCAGAGACAGAGAAATGAAGAGAGAAAAGGAGAAAGAAAGAAATATTCTGTCCTCCTAGATTTGGTGTGATCTCCCTGGTTACAAACCCACAGGACTCAAGTCCATAGTTACTCCAGTAACAACTCCCTAGAAATTTTTGCCTATAATTCCTCTTTTCCCTGCTTGGATTTTGCACACCATCTTCAGTTTCATAGTATTTCCACACTCTTGTGACCAGATGTTTTTCTTTATGAGATGACTCATCACATTTGCTTGGCAATTATGAATCCAGTAGAAATGACTTGGAGGGGCCCAGGGGACTGAAGAGTCCCATCCCCTCAAGATATTGTGATTCCAATTGCTAGGACTTTTTATAATAAAGACCTTAATTTTAACCATAGAAACCCACCACAGTTGTGAACTTAGTAAATACTGTAACTTGGCAATTAATAGTATATTTTTATTTATTATAAAATTATAAAAATTAGGGAACCAGCAGTTAGCGTAATGGCTATGTCGCTGGACTCCCATGTAGTCGACCACGGTTCGCATCCTGGACCCGGTGGCTTAAAACCCATGCTGGGCGCATGTGCGTGCGTGCCCAAGATCCCAAGAGGAGAATGGAGGAGAAGGGATTGTGGCGTGGCCATCCCCTCTGGGGGGTGCTTTCTCACTTCTTGTCTCTCTGTCTCTGTCTGTCTGGCGAGCGCACGCGCCCTATAGTGAAAAACCTCTAAAATAAATAAATAAATAAATAAAATAAAAATAATTTAAAAAATTATAAAATTGGCAGAAAACTTTTGTAACATATTTAAAAATATACAAAGAATATATATTACTATTATGCATGTTAATAAAATAAATGAAATTGATAAACCCACCCCTCAACAGGTAGAACATAATCAATATTTACTTTGGAGATCTAACTTTCAATGGTCAGATCTAATTTCAGTTGGAAACCACTGGCTAGTAAGAAAAAGGTATCTTCTGTTGCAGGTCCACAGAGTGTCCTTAAATATAATTATCTTGGGACCAGGAGTTGGCATAATGGCTATGTTGCTGGACTCCCATGTAATCTACCGCGTTTTGAGTCCCAGACCCAGCGGCTTAAGCTCACGTCAGGCACATGTGCATTCATGCCCAAGATCCCAAGAGGAGAATGGAGGAGAAGGGATTGCGGTGTGGCTATCCCCCTCGGGGGGGTAATTTCATACCTTCTATCTCTCTGTCTCTCTCTGTCTTTCTGGCGAGCGTACGTGCCCTATAGCAAAAAAACTCTCAAAAAAATTATTATCTGATTCTACTCAAGCATCCTACTTAGGACTAAAATTTGTTCCTTTTTGATGTAAATCACCTATACATGTTCATCTAACCCAGTTTTCCTACTACTTATTCCCTTGGAATATCTCTCAAGAAGTA